TGCTTCCTGGCTTGCCATGCTTCTTCTGTCTGCACTTCACACTCCTCAGAGGCCAAACCAATGGAGCCACATAAACATTTTCTCTTTATAAAGTTAGGTTCTCAGGATTTCATTTGTAGTGATGACAAGCAGGGGAAATAAATGTCCTACAATTTATGTGATAAGAGGGAATGAGGGCCGGCACTGTGGCTCACTAGGCTAACCCTCCACCTGCGGCACTGGCACTCCAGGTTCTAGTCCCGGCTGGAGCACGAGATTCTGTCCCAATTGCTCCTCTTCCAGTCCAGTTCTCTGCTGTGGCCCGGGAGGGCAGTGGAGGATGGCCCAGGTGCTTGGGCCCTGCACCCACATGGGAGAACAGGAGGAAGCACCTGGCTCCTGGCTTCGGATCAGCGCAGCGTGCCAGCCGCAACATCCCAGCTGTGGCGGCCACTTGTGGGGTGAACCAACGGAAAAAGGAAGACCTTTCTCTCTGTCTCTCTCACTGTCTAACTCTGCCTGTCCAAAAAATAATAATAAAGAAATAAAAATATGAAGTCTATCATTAAAGAATACCAAAATCAGCACACTATTCCAGGTTTGCAACTTATTAAAAAAAAAGGGTGGGGGGGAGGGAATGAGTAGCAGACCCAGAATGGTGCCAGCATTGGAATGGCAAAAATCATGAGCCAGCCCTATTATTTTGTTCCCCAAACATTTACCAAGCTTGTGTTTTTGCCTCAGTAGAGGGTCACCTGATGGTCACAAGAGACTGGCACTAGACAAAGATGATCAACTTTTACTTGTCATCCTAGGTTATCAAGGCTGCCTACAACCAAGTAAAAACAGTTGCTCAAGGAAACCTTTCCAGTGCAGATGTCCAAGCTGCCAAGTAAGTTTCATTACTATGTGTTTTATGTTTTAGTCACTTGACAGTTGTATTTTTTCTAAATAAAGAGAAGGAAACACACACACCCTGTTCTACTACTCTGAAATATAATCGGTACATTTTGCCTATTTTCTTGAGCACATTTTTTTTTTCAAGATTTATTAATTTAACAGGAAGTTATAGAGAGAGGGAGAAGGAGAGAGAGATCTTTCATCCCCCAGTCCACTCTCCAAATGGCCACAGTGGCTGGTGGCTGGGACTGTGTCAAGCTGAAATCAGGAGCCTGGAGCTTCATCTGCCTGGAGCTTCATCTGCCTGGAGCTTCATCTGCACCACATGGGTGCAGGGGCCCAAGCACTTGGGCCATCTTCTACTACCTTTCTAGGCACATCAGCAGGGAGCTGGGTTGGCAGCAGGGTAGCTGGGACTCAAACCAGCACTCATATGGAATGCCAGTGTTGCAAGCAGTGGTATAAAAAACAAAAATTATCTTTGATTCCCTCTCTGTGATTTCCCTTTTTTAAACATTCGGCAATACCAGGTCCATGCATAGAATGGATGGAGCAAGCTCATATTCCATCTCCCTGCTCTGAAAATCCATTTAATATATTGTCCTCACATAGAGGACGTATCAAATATTAAACTGATAAGAACAGATACTGGGGCCGGCACTGTGGCGCAACGAATTAAGCTGCCGTCTGTGGTGCCAGCATCCCATATGGGCACTGGTTCAAGTCCCAGCTGCTCCACTTCCGATCCATCTTCTGTTAATGTACCTGGGAAAGCATCAGAAGATGGCCCAAGTACTTAGGCCCCTGCACACACATGGAAGACCCGGAGGGGAGGATTCTGGTTCCTGGCTTTGGCATGGCCCAGTCCCTGCCATCACAGCTATTTGGGAAGTGAACCAATGGATGGAGGATGTGTCTCTCTCTCTCTTCTTTCTCTCTGTAATTCTGACTTTCAAGTAAATAGTAAATATTTTAAATAAAAGAACAGATACTACACTTTATCTTAGCCAAAAGGCCAAGAAGCGATCATTTTTTAAACATTCTAGTGATGTTTCCATTTATTAATGTTACTAAAAATTTGTATGAACAATATTAATTGAGATGTCAAAATAAACTTGGACAATTTCTACAGCTGGAAAATTATAAACTACAAAGGATATCTTTGAATTTTATATTACTTTCTTGGTATAGATTCCCAATTAGGTCAGGAGTTGCAAACATGGTAACAAAAGTCTCCATGTTAAAATGTGTTTGTATAATATTTATATTCTAATAAAACATAAACTAAACTGTATCAGTTTACAATCACACCACCAGTATTATCCTATAATAACCACTGACAGATCCTTTTTTCTTCTTTACTGATTTACACTGATGAAGAAACTCTTTTGTATTTTTTCTAAGTAAAACCAAAACACTTTTCTACTGTTTGGGGTTTGTTTTGTTTTGCTTTTTGGTACATGAACCAGGAATATTGGGTGATTTCTAAAATCCCACTGTCTAGATCAGAAGTTCTAACAAACCCTTAATTCATTAGCATTTTCTCTAACTTAAAAAGACGGATTTGAGATGAAGTTAGTTATCAACCTGCATTTTTTTAACTTTTTTTAATAAATATAAATTTCCCAAGTACAATTTTTGAATTATAGTGGCTTTTTCCCCCCATAACCTCCCTCCTATCCGCAACCATTCCATCTCCCACTGCCTCTCCCATCCCATTCTTCATCAAGATTCATTTCCAATTATCTTTATATACTGAAGATCTACTCAATATTTACTAAGTAAAGATTTCAACAGACTGCACCCACACAGACACACAAAATATAGAGTACTGTTTGAGTAGTAGTTTTACCATTAATTTGCATAGTACAACACATTAAGGACAGAGGTCCTACGTGAGGAGTAAGTGCACAGTGACTCCTGTTGTTGATTTAACAATTGACACTCTTGTTTATGGCATCAGTAATCACCCGAGGCTCTTGTCATGAGCTGCCAAGGCTATGGAAGCCTCTTGAGCTTGCCAACTCCGATCTTATTTAGGCAAGACCATAGTCAAAGTGGAAGTTCTCTCCTCCCTTCAGAGAAAGGTACTTCCTTCTTTGATGGCCCGTTCTTTCCACTGGGATCTCACTCACAGAGATCTTTCATTTAGGTGGTGTTTTTTTTTTTTTTGCCAGAGTGTCTTGGCTTTCCATGCCTGAAATACTATCATGTGCTTTTTAGCCAGATCCGAATGCCTTAAGGGCTGATTCTGAAGCCACAGTGCTGTTTAGGATATCTACTGTTCTGTGCAGACTACTGTATTTTAAAATTACAGATCAAAAATGACTCCAAAAGAAAATCAATTTCTTCACACATGAAATATATAAAAAGCTGGAATGATGGTTAATTCACATATAAAATCACATACAAAAGACCCTACTTTTCCTTCCAAATTACTTAGATTCATACAGTTGATTCTATCTATCACACAACTGTTCTATACTAATCACACTGCTAGAGTAAACTTCTATTAGGATATTCAGTTAGAGGCCAGCGCCACCAGGTTAATCCTCTGCCTGCAGCGCCGGCACTCCAGGGTCTAGTCCCGGTTGGGGCGCCGGTTCCGTCCTGTCAACCTGCATTTTCATACAGCTGTTTAAGATGGTTAAGTTTGACTCCATAACCTTCAGAGAATTCAAAATGTATATTCTACAACTCAAAAGCTCTTTACCATCATTTGGGATTACTCACTGGGAAAGTATGACAAAGTGAGCTACAGCTCAGGAGACAACCTTTTAGACCTTTGTGCTCCTTTTAGTGTTCCTAGTTTCATTACACCAAGCACACTGCAAGATGGCATTTCTTGAATGGGTACAGCACAATTGATTAAATACTGTGTGCATGGAACTAAGTATCAGTAGGACGCAGTTCTGCCTGATTGCACCAGAAACCAACCATGATGAGGATAAATTGAAACAATGGATTTACTTATGAAAAATCTAAATTTTAAATTTAGTTAAGATCACCATAAGATAAGGCAATATGTAGAAAATGGAATTTATGTTATTATTGTCAAGGTGTTTGTTTTCTGACATTTTGATGGAGCTCTTACTTTTTCTTTAAGATCCTTAGTCTGTATAATGAAAGGGAGAAAGTGAGATGTCACTGCTGAAGGGACTAATAACCTCTTGGAAAAGTGTCTTATAGGTGAAACCCTCTATTAATTAAGTTGGTAATATGGCAAAAGTGCTGTGTTAAGTTTAATCATGCTTAAATGTAAGTCTGGTATAGAATGCCAGAAGATGACAGTTTGTGGTTAAAGTTCCTTAATTTATTTGTTAAGTAAATAAGCCTTACTGAATACTGTTTTTATAAGGAATAACAGCTTCTTTCTGGTAAAATTGTTAATTGGGTTCAGTTTTATTGCAAACTGATGTTTTTTAGTCCATTTTGATTTTTTTTTTAAGACTTATTTACTTATTTGAAAGGCAGAGTTAGAAAGACTCTTCCATCTGCTGGTTCACTTCCCACATGGGTATGGTGGCCCAGGCTGGGCCAGGCCAGAGCCCAGGAGCTTCATCCTGGTCTCCTCTGTGGGTGGTAGGGGCCCAAGTACTTGAACCATCTTCAGCTACATTCCCAGGCAATTAGCAGGAAGCTGGATAGGACTCAAACCAGCACCCATATGAGATGTCGGCATCGCAGGCAGCAGCTTAACCCGCTACATGGCAATGCCAGCCTGCATCTTGGGGTCTACTGCCCTCCCCTGCCTGCCCTATCCATTGTGCCCACTCTCACTGAGTCAAATAAATCCCAGGGTAAAAGTAGTGCCTGGGGAAAAGATACTAATCAACACACACTTTCTGCCATAAGTGGACAACACCATAAGTGTCAACTTAGGTGTCCTTTGACAGACAGTCTGACACCAGCTTCCTGCCAATTCAGACCCTGGGAGGCACTGGTAATGGTTCAAGTCATTGAGTTCCTCGTTTTGGCCCAGCTCAGCCCCAGGCATGATGAGCATTTGGAAGGTGAACCAGTGGATGGCTGCTCTCTAATAAAAATTAAAAAAAAAAAAAAAAAAAACTCACTTTAAAATAGTCTTACTAAATTCTAGTCCACAATCAAAAAGCAGTCTGTTAAGTTTTCAGTGTAGGTTTGTATTACACCCTTCCAAATTATAAATAATACTTGGTGAGGAAACAGAATGGAGACCCTTAGCACTGTAACTGTTAATTTGCCTATTTACCAAAAACTTGTTGAAGAGTTTTGGGGACATACTTTAACACTGCCTTGCTCTACAGAACTGACTGCTGCTTTTTATTGGACAGGAACAAGCTGAAAGCTGGATATCTAATGTCAGTAGAGTCTTCAGAGGGCTTCCTGGATGAGGTTGGGTCCCAGGCTCTGATTGCTGGTTCTTACGTGCCACCATCCACAGTCCTTCAGCAGATTGACTCGGTGGCTGATGCTGATATCGTAAATGTAAGTAAACGAAAACTTAGAATTTAATGTCAGAGAGCTTAACCTTCACGATCCAGTTGCCAAAGGAATGCATAGGCTTTCTTGGGCTGTCTTGAGTTGTTCTCATGCCGTCTGATTCCCGTCTGCAGTGTGGATGCAGTCGGCCCTTTACTATCAGATCTGCAAACAGCTTCCTTGTTAGCTCAGGTATATGTGTCGTCCTCATTCAAAGAAATGACCACTGAAACCATTTAAAATTATTAGAGGTCACGAAGAGTTGAACTCAAATACTGGCAATTTCCTATGAGTCAGCCTAAGTGGTACAGTTTGCTGTTCTTCCTCTTCCCCTAACCTTGCCAATCCTTCACCACCTCACGTTTCAGGATATTTTCTGTTCTTCTCAGCCTAGCACATTCCCCTGCCTTTGCTACTTTTTTCCCACATACATTTATCCCTACAAGCTTGAGTTGTTTTGAGGACAGAGGACTATGTCTTACTGTGTTTTGTATTCCCTACTTGACCAGCAGGCACAGGAACTACAATGTTCAGGCAGTGGATTCCCCTAGTTCCATCTACATTTCTACATTAACATCGCCGACTCCCCTTCTACTGACTCTTCCATCCTCTCAACAACAGGGCCACCTTGTACAGGGACAACAAGGATAGAAACAAAGCTACTTTGAGGTAGTAACCCAGACTTGATCTCACCTGGCCCATAAGTTGATCGTTACATAGATGGCTGTCTTCATCTTGTGTGCCATCAATACATGAGTCCCAACCCAGCTTTATGCACCACCCTCTCCCCTCCATTAAAAACAGCTGGCCTGACATAACAGGGACCCACCTTGTGGCAATACACGTAACCTGAACAACGAGCCTTCAAACTTCAAGCAGTGGCATAAAGAATACTAGGATATAAGGTTTAACTTTTAAGTTAACAGTGTATTTTGATTGACCCAGACAGTTTGCCTTTGCAATACAAGAACAAAAAAATACAGGCCTGCCTGAAGCCACTCTGCTGTGTCAGTAAGGTTCTCCTTATCCCTCCTTTAACAGCTACCCTCTTATCTAGAGCACCCCGACTCTTCCTTAGTAGCACCTGTGATAGAGCAGTCAAAGGAACAGCTGAACATTTCCTCCCACATCACCAAAATAAAGCACCAGCCATCTCTCACAGGAAGCTGTTGGTGGAATTGCTGATACAAATTCTTATTTCCACTAACTTTCTTCTTTTGTTTGTTTCTTTAAAGGCTGCAAAGAAGTTTGTTTCTGGCCAGAAGTCCATGGCAGCAAGTGGAAATTTGGGTCATACACCTTTTGTTGATGAGTTATAATATGGAAGCACATATTACAGGACAAAACTGAACATTCTCTCAGCCATGACACAAAACACACGAAAGTTAAAAGTCTAACAAAACATCTTTTTTTCGCATGAATGCTGGTAATTATTCCCAGCTGACTTAAAGTCAATAAAAACATCCTATTTAAATGTTTTTCTTGCATTTTTCCTAATTAATCAAGTACTTATAATATGATGGGATCTTGTTTTAGATTCCTAGACAGAAATATACATAATCATTGCATATAAACATCAGGAGTTATTCGAATTAATGGTAAGTGGCTATCAGGGTAAGAATTTGCAGATTATTATTGGTGACTTTTTAAGATAAAAGCAAGTTAAAAATCTGATACTTTGGGTGACAGCAGCTAAGTGGTCTGGTTCTCTCTCTGCCTTTTTTGCAAGAAAATTATTCTGAAAACAATTCCCTGTCAATCATACCCTATTACTCCTATAACTTTGTTTTATACATCTAATTTATTATTACTGCGGCAGTTCTATTTTTTGCTTCTGGCTCTCCTTCATCTGTTTCAATCCTCTCTCTTTCAAATAACACAAAGTAAAAGTAGGGCTGAAAAGTAAGGGGAGGGATTCTAATGTGAACCATGAGCCAAAGAAGATATCTGTTATCTCTTTTCAGTAGAACTCTTGAAGCTTGAAAGGAAAAAAAAAATTATTTACCTTTAAAAGGGAAGCTTTTTGCTGTGTTCAGACATTCTGATGTTGAGTTCCTCTACTGTGTTTCTAAAAGTTGAGAAGTTCTCAGAAAGGAAGGTCCTGATCATCTGGATGATGTTGCTGTTCTGGGAATAAGATTTGTGAGGCCTGCAAAAGCCCATGGGAGTTGACAGATCTCACACTGGAGCCAGTCCCCGAAGGCTTGGAGCACAGTCACGAAAGAGATTTCATCTAAAAGTCTGCATGGATTCCTGTAAGTGGAGCAAATCTGTATGTGGTGATGCACAGAAATTAGGAGTTTTCAAGATAAATGCTGTTACAGCCATAGAGTGGCAGGTTAGTGCTTAACACTGGATGGTGGATGACCTTTGCCCTTTTCCGCTTGGGCATAGTCTTCCAGCCAAAACGCATCCGAGGCAGAGGAGATGGAGGAGGAGGAAGAGCTTTCTCGGTCTTGTTTCGCCATTGTCCAGTATGGAGAAGGGGCTCTCACTTCCTTATCCTTGTGAATCATCACATCACAGCTAATGTCTTTCCCCACACTGATAGTCTGGTTCTTCTTTTTATAGCCATGCCATTCTTTGGAAATAGATACTGGTTTCATTGCAGGGTGATGCCCCATGGACCGAGGATACCTGTAATATTTAAGTCTTTTATCTAAAACGACTTCTTCATTGTCCTCGCTGCTTGTGAAAGATTCATCTTTTGCCTCCTGGGGTTTTTTTGGTGCGCTGAAATGAAAAGAACAGGGAAAGAAATGAATTTTTTTTTTTTTGGTTAAGCTTTATTTGAAAGAGTTACAGAGAGAGGTCTTCTATCTGCTGGTTCATTCCCCAAATGGCCACAAAGGCCAGAGTTGAGCTGATCAGGAGCCAGGAGGTTCTTCGGGTCTCCCACATGGATACAGGGGCCCAAGGACTTGGGCCATCCTCTGCTGCTTTCCTAGGCACATTAGCAGGGGGCTGGATCAGAAATAGAGCAGCCAGATTCAAACTGGCACTCATACAGGATGTCAGTGCTTCAGGCCAGGGCTTTAACCTGCTGCACCACAGAGCCGCCCCAAAGTGAATTCTTAATATCTGAACTAAGGTTCCCTGACAAGATATCATAAACTGAAGCTAGCGCCGTGGCCTAGTATGCTAAGCTTCTGCCTGCGGCACCGGCATCCCATATGAGCACTGGTTCTGATCCCGGCTGCTCCTCTTCTGATCCAGCTCTCTATTTATGGCCTAGGAAAGCAGTAGATGATGGCCCAAGTGCTTGGGCCCCTGCACCTATGTGGGAGACTTGGAAGAAGATCCTGGCTCCTGGCTTCAGATCAGCCCGGCTCCAGCCATTGCAGCCATCTGGGCAGTGAACCAGCAAATGGAAGACCTCTGTTCTTTGTCTCTCCCTCTTTCTGTCTATAATTCTACCTCTCATATAAATACAAAGTAGCTTTATAGCCTACTTTAGCTCAGAAAAGATAGTTTAACTTAGGCACCTCCTTTCTATATTATTAAAGTTTTTCTCTTTTTAAAAAAATTCCTTTAAATTTTTTTACATTCCTAATTATAAAATAAAATTCCATTGTAAGTTATTTCATATTACTTTTAAAAGCTTTGCACAGACTGAGGCCAAACTACAGACTGGAATAGTTGGAGGCTTAAATAGTGTGGGTTCACACCTAGAGTGACAAGTTCAACCTGGCCATTTCCTTTTGAGAGTTCTGTTGCAATAATAAAATATGCCAGCTCTCTGCGGCAATAACAGTATTACCACCTTCTGTGAGAGTCAGGAACTAGTCTCAAGGATTTCAACATTGCTAATTATTAATAAATATTTGACTTCACTGTTTTTCTCCTGATCCTGCCCCACGGCCTCTTTTGGTTTCAGATGTTTTTAAGTGTATAGTTTGATTCTGTTATTATTATTATTATTTGAAAGGCAGAGTGACAGACCTGCCATACTGGTTCACTCCCCAAATGCCCACACAACACCCGTGGCTGGGTCAGGCCAAAAAGCCCAGGAGTCCAGAATTCTATCCAACTCTCCTGCATGGGTGACAACTGCTTAAGCCATCTTTCGCTGCCTCCCAGGATTGCATTAGCAGGAAGCTGAGTTGGAGGCAGAGTGGCCAGGACTCAAACCAAGCACTCTGACTTGGGATGTGGCTATCTCAAGTGGTAGCTTAACCCATTGTACCACAATGCCTGTGCCTAGAAGAGATTTTTGTAACCTACCCCAGCTATTGGCTTTCTTGAGTGTTGAATCTTGGGTGATGTTTGCCTGCTAGCAGCTACTGGCATAGGAGCTTTTCTAATGCCTCCTGAACCTGTACTTGCTGCTACTTAGAATAAATGCTACCTGTCACCTGCTCGCCCTGGCCCTCATTGCCCAAAAAATCCAAAACTCGATCTTTATGATTATAGACTTCAAGTGCATTCTGTCCTGCTAATAGGAAATAGGTTCCTCTCCCTCATCTCCCTTAATCTGTCAGACTTGCACCTTGACAGTGCCTATTTTATTTGCTTCCAAGAATTGAACAGATTTTCCTAAACTTTATCACTTCTAGTAATGCACAACTGGTATTGAGTCGTTTTTACTGAGGCACTAACTTTAAATGTGTGATTTTTGTTTTGCTTCATTTAGCACTGCAAGGACTAAACTAAAACAGTTTGCCTTCAGCCACACCCAGGTCTTCCTGTACAGCACATAATGAGAAGGCAAAAAACAAACCCAAGTTACTTTTTTTCAGGCTGCAAGGGATATCGTTGGTAACTGTTTTCAGTAACCAGAATGACTTAGATAATTAAGTCATAGCCAGCAAAATCAGGGTTAGCTGGAGACAAAAAAAAATTAAGATGTATTTATTTATTTATCTGAAAGGTAGTGTTACAGAGATTTTCCATCCAATGGATTATTGGCCTAGAGTTCCATCTGGGTCTTCCATGTGGATAGCAGGGGCCCAAACACTTTGGCTATCTTCCACTACTTTCCCACTAGCAGGGAGCTGGATTGGAACTGGAGCAGCTGAGACTCAAATCAGCATCACAGGCAGTTAACCTCTGCAGCACAATGGCAGCCATATAAAAATGTTTAGACCACTGGGCCTACCTACCCACAGCAGTGTATGGAACATTGTCTCCCATGCACACAGAGCCGTTTGCTCCTGGAAGAGGTCTTTTCAACTCTGGGAAAGAAGCATTTTTTTTCCCTTTTTGTCCCTCACACGCCACACGTAAATGTCTCAGATGTAAGTACTTTGCTTAATTAAAGGGATTTGGAACATGCTTGGCACTGTTGCTTAAGTATGTGGTTTAGCCTCATACTTCAACTGTGCTAGTCCCTTTGTTTATCTCTTCTTTCCTTCTAAGTGGTCAATCCGCCATCCCAGGTTTTCCTACTGTGAATCTCTAACTCCTCCCTGGGATGAAAATGTCTGAAATAGTCATTACATAGGCAAAAGGTGAAGAGCCCAGAATTGATAGTTGAGCTCTCAGATTTGGGGCCACCATCTGCATGTGGCGGTGAAGTTTAAATTGATTGAACTTGAATAAACCTAAATGAGTCTCCACATTTCAAGTGCTTGATAGCCACCTGTGTGGCTAGCAGCTAGCTTATGAGACAATACAGGTGCAGAATATTTGCATCACTGCTGTAGAGTCAGACCTGTGCCATTTAGCCCTGTATGCCCGGCAGCTTTATACACACCTCTGGGCTTCATTCAGCTGCCTTCTCTTCAAAAGGAGGGTAACAGGGCCGGCGCCGTGGCTCACTAGGCTAATCCTCCGCCTTGCGGCGCCGGCACACCGGGTTCTAGTCCCGGTCGGGGCGCCGGATTCTGTCCCGGTTGCCCCTCTTCCAGGCCAGCCCTCTGCTGTGGCCCGGGAGTGCAGTGGAGGATGGCCCAGGTGCTTGGGCCCTGCACCCCATGGGAGACCAGGAAAAGCACCTGGCTCCTGGCTCCTGCCATCGGATCAGCGCGGTGCGCCGGCCGCAGCGCGCCGGCCGCGGCGGCCATTGGAGGGTGAACCAACGGCAAAGGAAGACCTTTCTCTCTGTCTCTCTCTCTCTCTGTCCACTCTGCCTGTCAAAAAAAAAAAAAAAGGAGGGTAACAGTTGGCATGAGGGTCCCATGGTATCCTGCTTCTACTCGCTGCAGGTGCCCACCACACACTGAGCCAGGAGTAAGTGTTCCCTGCTCTTACTAAGCATTTTTAGTCAAATCGGGATTAGTCTGGCCGATGTGAAATCTTTCCTGTCTGCCCAACCTGAATGGGACAGCTGTTGCCCAGCTCTAGGCCACCATTACCACGTAAGAACACAGGCCATCTTCTGGTGCCTCACAGAAACCAGAGATGCCGGTTCTTTCCAAATCTTAGATTTGCAAGTTGGGTGACTAACTCAATATCTTGCATTTTTAATTTTTTTAAAATATACAGAAAAACACAAAATTGGAATGAAAACTCATAAATTCCTTGGTAGCACACTACCCAGGTCTGGAGGGTAAAGGCCACCATGTGTCCTGCTTACTCTCTGCAGGTGACCACTTAAAATCTCTAGAAGCCAAGCAAAGTATATCTGTAGGTCCTGTCAGTCCCTTACCCCTTAAGCTCCAGTCTCTGAAGCAAAGCTTGTGAATTACAGGCCATTTCAAGTCACAGTAAAGTCCCTAGCCATCGTTCCTTGAGCCATACCAATAAGCAGAGGCTCCCAGCTGTAGCACCTAGTGCTAACAGATTTACTAGGGCTCACTCGCATGTCAGAGCGCCGAGTCTGCCACTAAAAGAACCAGCTCTCGTATTCTATGTGTTATCCTGTTCTACAGAACACTTGCTCATGTATCTGACCCTCCAGAGAGTCCCTGTTACTCCTCTGTTACAGATAAGAAACCAGCTCTCTGACATGATTTAGGTCATTTATCTAGATTCAAAGCTGGATTTCAGTTTTCACTCACTCTCAGAAATATCAGCCATCCCATGGTAGGTTTAGCAGAACAAGACAGGCTCAGTCCTTGCCCTTATGGAGTCTACATTTTTCCAGGAAAACACAAGGAACAACAGATGACACAGTGACTTAATTAAAACTGTGACAGATGCAGAGTGCTAGGAGAGCCCCTGATCCAGACAGACCCATTTCCACATTCCTATAGGAAGGCCTCTTGGAGGAAGTTTACTCTGTGAACCTTCAAGAATAGTACAGGGCCGGCGCCGCGGCTCACTAGGCTAATCCTCCGCCTAGCGGCGCCGGCACCCCGGGTTCTAGTCCCGGTCAGGGCGCCGGATTCTGTCCCGGTTGCCCCTCTTCCAGGCCAGCTCTCTGCTGTGGCCAGGGAGTGCAGTGGAGGATGGCCCAGGTGCTTGGGCCCTGCACCCCATGGGAGACCAGGAAAAGCACCTGGCTCCTGCCATCGGATCAGCGCGGTGCGCTGGCCGCGGCGGCCATTGGAGGGTGAACCAACGGCAAAGGAAGACCTTTCTCTCTGTCTCTCTCTCTCACTGTCCACTCTGCCTGTCAAAAAAAAAAAAAAAAAATTTAAGTAGGGCATGCCATGGTCAGATTTGCATTATAAAAGCTTCACTTGTAGAAAATGAATAGGGAGCAAGACTAGCTAGGGACCAGATGGTGGCTTGGGGATGATGGTAGCAGCCAGGAAGAGAAGTGGACAGGTGTAAGAAGATAGAAGGTAAAATGGCAAGTCTTAGCAATGGGGGAGATGACGAATTCAGTCCCTAAATTCCTGGCAGGGGCAACAAGGCAAACGTTCCCCCAGTAAGACAGGGCTGCTGGAAAAATCACTGGCATTTGATCTTAAGCAGAATGAGCCTGAGAGGTTTCTGATACATCCAAATGCAGACATCAGGTGGATGTTGTTTTGTTTTTTTAAAGATTTAGTTTTTATTTATTTGAAAGAGTTAGAGGTAAAGCCAGAGAGAGAGAGAGAGAGAGAGAGAGAGGCCTTCCATCCACTGGCCCACTCCTCAGATGGCCGCAACAGCCAGAGCTGAGCTGATCTCGAGCCAGGAGCCAGGGATTTACTCTGGGTCTCCCACGTGGGTGCAGGGGCCCAAGCACCGGGCAATCCTCTGCCCTCCCAGGCCATAGCAGAGAGCTGCATTGGAAGCAGAGCAGCCTGGACTCGAAACGGCGCCAACATGGGATGCCCGCACTGCAGGCAGCAGCTTTACCTGCTGCGCCACAACACCGGCCCCAGGTGGATGTTTAATTAGGCAAGTTTGGAGATGATGCAGTTTGAAAGTGCTTAGTGAATGGATAGTAATAAAAACCATCAGCATTGATGAGGTTGCCTAGGACACTCAGAAACGGATCAAGAACTAAACCTTGAGGAATTCTGAGGTTGGGTAAAAAGAGGCCAACACGAAGTGAGAGGAACCAGGGGAATCAGGGGAGTGTGAAATCCCAGAAACCTGGGGAAGAGGGTGTTGTAAGAAGAGCAGGGGATGAGGAGGGGGGGAGCTGTAATGTATCTGCTGCTACTCAGAAGCTGCGGTTTGAATGTGTCCTCCAAAAGTTCATGTGCGGGAAACCTAATCCCCAAATTCGTGTTAACAGTATTTGGAGGTGGGGCCTTTGGAAGGGAAGAGGGTAATTAGCATGAGGCCTTGTGGGTGGGATCCCCAGAGTGGCCTCAGTGGCTTTGTAAGTGGTTTGCTCAGCCTTACCCTATGACAGTGCAGCAAGAGGGCCCCGAGCAGAGGCTGGCGCCACGCTCTGGGACTTCCCAGCCTCCAGAACCGCGAGCTCAGTACCCCGCCATCCTTTCTGCAACGCCCAGTCTGTGGGGCTCCACAGCAACAAAGAACACTAAACCACACAGAATAAGGAGCGGGAAGGCCGCTGGCATCAGCAGTGAGGCAGCTGGGGAAGGCCTGGGGAACAGAGCTTATGGCCAGAGAATGAGAGCAAAGGCTGCCGACAAGAGTTGGGGGGACCTGGAAACAGGCATCTCCTGGGCACGGGGAGGTGGCTCACTCGGTGCTCGGGACAAGTGGAGCGGGGAGGCAAGGGTCCATGCAGTGGCTGGAGAGGGCAGGGAGGAGGGCCTGCCAGTGGGAGAGGCTGAAACTGTTACTGGGAAGGATCCAGACAGAAGTGGGAAATGCATGAGAGGAAGGGGGAAATGGGATTCACAGCACAAGTTCTAAGGGCTGACTTCGCACAGCACAGGTTGGCTTGGGAACAGAGTTCCTGTCAGGGATTGGCTGGTGGTTTTTTTTTTAACTCCAAGTTGCCTTAATCTCACTGCCTCATGTTAGGGTCCTGAATCCTGTCTAACTAATCCTGGCAGAGTCACCCATCCTTCCTTCCATAGCCCTGTCCGGTTGTTAATTCTCTTATTAAACCCAGATCCCAGGATGTGGGATTCTGTAGTGTAACAGAGTTTCTAAAAGTCTGTAGTTACCTTGTTACTGGGAATTTGGTCTCTGGGATCAAATCTCGGATTTCTTGCCATTCTTTGGGTATGTCAATAAAACTTCGATAGACCTTGATTCCTAGTACCGTTCCTATGGTAGTCTGTTGCAAAAGCTGTAAAAACTCTCGAAGCGTATATCCTAACACATTAGCATGGCCAACGCTAATGAGTACATCACCTGAAGAAGGAAAAAAATTATCAGTAAAATTAAGACAGTGGGGCTGATGCCAGTTTAATTCTCGGCGGCTCCACTTCATCCAGCTCCCTGCTAAGGCACCTAGGAAGGCAGCAGAAAAGGCTCAAGTACTGGGGCCCCTGCACCCCCATGGGAGACATAGATGAGGCTCCTGGCTCCTGGCTTCAGACCGGCCCAGCTCCAGCCATTGCTGCCATTTAGGGAGTGAACCAGTGGATGGAAGAACTCTCTACCTCTCCCTCCCTCTCTTATCTGTGACTCTGCCTTTCAAATAAATCTTTTACAGGCCGGCACCGCGGCTCACTAGGCTAATCCTCCACCTGCGGTGCCAGCACACCGGGTTCTAGTCCCGGTCAGGGCGCCGGATTCTGTCCCGGTTGCCCCTCTTCCAGGCCAGCTCTCTGCTGTGGCCAGGGAGTGCAGTGGAGGATGGCCCAAGTGCTTGGGCCCTGCACCCGAATGGGAGACCAGGAGAAGCACCACAGCGCACCGGCCTCAGCGGCCATTGGAGGGTGAACCAACGGCAAAAGGAAGACCTTTCTGTCTCTCTCTCTCACTGTCCACTCTGCCTATCCAAAAAAAAAAAAATCTTTTACAAAAAATTAAGACAATGACAGAAAGGATCCATATCAATGTCTGGTTTTATGTGAGGCATATCTTTATTTTTTAAAGGTTCATTTATTTGCCAGAGGGAGAAACAGACAGCTCTTCCATCTACTGGTTCACTCCCCAAATGACTACAACAGCCAGGGCGGAGCCAGGAGCTCCGTCAACTCTCTCACGTGCATGGCAGGGGCCCAAACACTAAGGCCATCTTCCGCTGTTTCCCAGGCACATTAGCAGGGAGCTTGCTCAGAAGTAGAACAGCCAGTCCCAGGTATTCCATTTTATGGGATCATATTGTTGGTTCATTTTTAACCAAAACCAAACTGCAGCCTTTATTTAAACAGAAACATTTATGTTCGTGACATGAGTGTCCTCTGCATAATGAAGAATGCAGTCAAGATACTCCTGCATGGGAGACAGCGTTGTGGTGCCGCAGGTTAAACCGCTGCCTGCAGTGCCAGAATCCATGTGAGCGCCGGTTCGAAGACTGGCTGCTCCACTTCCCGTCCTTCTCTGTTAATGCACCTGGGAAAGCAGCCAGAAATGGCCCCACCCCGGCCATTGCAGCCATCTGGGCAGTGAACCAGCAGATGGAAGATCTCTTTCACCCTGTGTTTCTCCCTCTCCCTACCTCTGCCTTTCAAATAAATTAAAAATAAACTTTAAAAAATTTAAAAAGGGAACATTCAAACAACAAGAATGGCTACTACTAGTAAAGAAGATAACACTTAACTAAGTGGTAAATAAATGACCTACTTTCTATTATACCTGCCTGGCAACTCCATTGCTCTCCGCAGTAGACTGTATTAAACACCAGGTCTCACACACACACACACACACACATATACACACGCCTTTAAAAAAAAAAAGATTTACTTATTTGAAAGGCAGAGCAACAGACAGAAAGGGAGAGAGAGCCTCCATTTGCTGTTTCACTCCCTGGCTACCTGTAACAGCCAGGGCTGGCCAAGTGCAAGCCAGGAGCCAGGCGCTTCTGCTGGGCTCCCATGTGGAATGGCAGGTACCCGAGTCCTTGGGCCACCATGTGCTGCCCTCCAGGGCAGGACACCACGTCAGGGCATTCCAAGCAGCAGTTCACCCACTGCCACATCACTCAACCTCAGCATCAGGCATTTTGTTTTAATTTTCTGGTCTGGGGAGACCCAGAAGTTCCTGGCTCTTGGCTTTGGATTGTAGCCATGTGGGGAGTGAACCAGCAGGTGGAAGGCCTATCTCTCTCTCTCTCTTTCTCTCTCTCTGCCTCTAACTTTGCCTTTCAAATACATAAATAAATCTTTAAAAAAAAAAAAAAAAAAAAACTTCAGAATGAGACTTCTCCCAGCCCCTGCAAGGTGTGTGTTCTGAAGCAGCTGCTCGTTCTACGGAGGGGAGGTTAATTACAATGCAAAAAACACGAGCTCACCTACCCCATGTTAAAAGGAGTGTTGATAGCTGAAAGCCATGGCTCCACATTCTGCTAAATTATAGTGTAAAAGAATGACTTTTACCAAGAGGGCAGAAAATAAACCGCTTAATTCCTGACTGTTCTGGCTGTAAACCAAACATGTCCGCGGATGAATGTGATCACCCTTCCAACAGATAAGCACTGCCCTTCATAGAGAAGCACCACCTTGGTATTCACGAACGCCAAGCTCAGTGCACCTTGTTTTTCCTCTTAATGGGCTGTAGGAACAGTGCTCTATGAACTTGGTCACCACTGCCTATAGTAAATCAACTTTGCTACCACTAATGAAAAAGATTTTTTTTTCCACCGCTCCCAACTAAGCTACAATTTCCATGTGATTAGGGACCATGTCTGTCTGGCTCTCCACCCACAGAGCCAGTACATAGCAGGCCTTCAGACAGTGCTTAATAAAGGAATATGGCCTAGTAAAGGCTATGCCCAATACATGATGTGTATAAGGGTGCTTCAAAAACTGTAAAAATGAAAGGAGATGTTTAGTTTGGTACAGAAAAAATTTGCAATCTACAGTTTTTTCATAATATGCATTTTTCATTGATTTTTTGAAGATTCTTCATAAGCATTGATTTCATAAATTTTTTGCACCTAGAATAAACTTTCCATGAACTTGTTGAAGTACCCTGTCAAAGCCATATTCATTTCTCTTATGACCATGTATGATACAAGTCTGTTAAAAGTCATCCTGGCCAAAAGGAATTTACAGTTTAACCAGAAGAAACGAGAACTAAACTACATCAGGAAATCAAGATGAAACCTGTCATGAAACATGAAAGAAGAGAAATGTAAAGGACTTCAATGATAAATAACAGGGTAGGAGGCTGTGCAGTCAAAGAAATTGCAGGTTTCTATGATTATCACCTCCCATCATATCAAAATCAATGTCCAAGAAAAACGGTTGAATTATAGAAACTTTGAAGCCTAGATGCTAAAGCAGCTACCTTGCAGAAGCTGGGGCTCTGAACTTTCTCTAAACTGAAATCTCATTTCCTGTAATTAGGCAATTGGCTAGTGAGCTAATAGGGGCATGTAGGCAGACAAAGGCTTAGATCCCAGCTCCAGCCACAGACTTAGTTGTGTGTTTTGAACAAATGACTCCATCTCTCTAAGCCTTTATGTCTCATTATCCATATTCCAAGAACATGGCACACATAAAATTCAATAACTGATGTGAAAACACCTTGCACAATGCCGACATTATTAATACATTAATACATTATTATTAATACATTATTAATGTATTAAGCAGAGACATGATCCATGTGCCATACTGTAAATCCTGGATTTAAAAGATCAATTCAAGACTGCTGCTGCCCTCCAAGAGCCCACTGGCTGTACCACACTGTGACATTCTGTGTCCACAGCATGAACACATACATACTCCTGACACTGGAGAACCCTGGGCTGTACCCCCTGGCTATCAACTTGCCCTTGTCACCTGACCATGGAGAGAGGCTGAGGAGAAGCAGAAAAGCCCATGGGAACCTGAAGCGCTCTTTTGGTCTAGGAAGGCCGGAATTCTCCCCCTGGCACTGTGTTCCCCAGCATCAAGCAGTGATGCTTTAGATTCTCTTTTAAAGATTTACTTTATTTGAAAGAGTGACAGAGAGAGACAGAAAAGTACCTTCCATCTGCTGGTTCATTCCCCCAAAAGGCTGCAGCAGTCAGGGCTGAACCAAGCTGAAGTCAAGAGCCAGGAACTCCACCTGGGTCTCCCACGTGGGTGTCAGCGACCCAAGCACTTGAGCCATCTTCCGGTGCTTTCTCAGGCATATGAGCAGGGAGCTGGTTTGGAAGATGGGATGCTGGTGCCATAAGCGGCAGCTTAACCCACCGTGCCACAATGCCCTGCCTTAGATTTAAGGCAAAGGGCTTCATAATAGCATCACCATCAGCTTTCTTCTTTGAAGCCTGGCTGCAAATCAGAATCATCTGAGCAGCCTTTAAACCATGCAGTGCCCTAGCCCCACCCCAGACCAACTGAATCAGAACCTGTGCCGACATGGGGCTCAGGTGTTTGGGTTTTTTGTTTTGTTTTTTTTTTTTTTTTTTTTTTGACAGTCAGAGTGGACAGTGAGAGAGAGAGAGAGAGAGAAAGGTCTTCCTTTGCCGTTGGTTCACCCTCCAATGGCCGCTGCGGCCGGTGCACCACGCTGATCCGATGGCAGGAGCCAGGTACTTATCCTGGTCTCCCCTGGGGTGCAGAGCCCAAGTACTTGGGCCATCCTCCACTGCACTTCCCTGGCCACAGCAGAGAGCTGGCCTGGAAGAGGGGCAACCAGGACAGAATCCGGCGCCCCAACCGGGACTAGAACCTGGTGTGCCGTCACCGCAAGGCGGAGGATTAGCCTAGTGAGCCGCGGCGCCGGCCTCAGGTGTTTCTAAATAGGCAACCAGGATTGCAAACTAATGGCTTATTCCACTGGAACTCATACTATACTTTTTTTTTTTTTTAACTTAAAAAGTCTAGAGAATGTGTAAGTAAGAATGGCCTGAGAGACATAATTGGCAATAAAAAGCACTTTAGCTTGCAGAAGCACTTTTATAAAAATTATGTCATCAAATCCTAGTAACCTTTGACTAAGATGGGATTATCGCAATTTAGAGGTGAAGCAACAGGCCTGGAGGGTTACATGACTTTGCCCAAGGTCACAGAACTAGAAAATGGCAGCACCAGGGCTGGTATTGTGATACAGCCGGTTAAGCCACCATCTAGCGCATCACATATTGGAACACCACTTCGAGTCCCTGCTGTTCCACTTCTGATCCAGCGTTCCTGCTGATGAACCAAGGAAGGCAGCAGAAGATGGCCCAGGACTTGGGCCCCTGCCAACCATGTGGGAGACCAGAATGGAGTTCAGGCACCTGGCTTCTGCCTGGCCCAGCCCCAGTTATTGTGACCATTTGGGAAGTGAATTCGAAGATGGAAGATTCTCCCCTCCCCTCTCCTCTCTCTTCTCCTGTCCCTTCCCTCCCCTCCCTATCCCTCTATCCTCTCCCCGCCATGCTCTGCTTTTCAAATAGGTAAATAAATACATTCTAGGAAAAAGGGAAAGCAAAAGCATATGGCAGCACACGGGCCTGAATTCAGGCCATCATGCGTGAAATGATTTTTCCTTCTTGCCACTTGCCATCCCATTGTGCCTCCCCCACTCCTGGGCACAGCTCAGGCCCTGAGCAGGCACTAGGAAAACACATCCTGCGCTGTATGGAAAATGCATTCACCCAAAGACATGAGGATTGGGCAGCACTGGTGGTGAGGCCCCTGGGCTCCGGTGTCTGGGAGAAAAGCTTCAAAGCTTGGCTCCTCAGTGTAACCATGGGCAAGTTACTAAATACCTGGCTCCTTATTTGTTGCTGATTTTTAAATTTTATTTATTCATTTGAAAGACTTACAGAAAGATTTTCCATCTGCTGGTTCACTCCCCAGATGGCCAGAATGGCCAGGGCTGGACCAGAGTGAAGGCAGGAGCTTCAACCGGGTCTCTCGGGTGGGTGGCAGAGACTCAGGTACTTGAGCCATCTCCCACTGCTTTCACAGGCACATTAGCAGGGAGCTGGATCAGAAAGTGGGGCAGCCGGGACATAAACTGGTACCCATTTGGGATGCCGGCATCACAGGCCACAACGCCAGCCCCCTGATCCTTATCCTTAAGGTGCTTGGATCTAACTCGGGGGTTGTTGGAATGTTTACGTAAAATCATGAATCCCAATATTAGCAATGATTAATATTGCCTGCAAAAAGAAGAAATCTTTATGGCAGGAGTCCTGGCTCTGAAGTGACACTGTGTCTTTATATCCCATTGGCAACATGCAGGTCAGCCTAGACAAGGAACTCAGTGTGAGCCCATTTCCTCACCTGAACGGGGGATGACTAACAGTTCCTACCTTGCAGGCTACTTTATGAATTAAATTCATCAATACACCCAACATGGAAGACTCTAGAAGTGACCGAAATTGGCCAGTGGAAAGGTCTCACCCAGTGTCATCATACCTTTATGGGTATACTGCAAACACATGACCCTCTGAAGGCAGAGAGGAGGGTGGGAAACCACAGTCACCTGGCCGGAGTTTCCCGTCCTTGGCTGCAGGGCTCTTCTTGAGGAGGTGCGTAATCTGCAGGTAGGGCCCATGCTGGATGATGATCAAGCCCAGGCCCATGCTGCCCACGGTGAGCTTGGTCTGCTGCGTTTTGCTCAGGGTGTGTCCAGTGGTCTTGACATTGAGTTTTTCTCGTGAAAAGAGGAGAGCTCATTTCAGACAGCGGCATGGCAGGAGGGGCAGGGTTTCTGAAGCCAGACCCCCAAGGCAGTTCCTTAACCTCCTCAGTTTCCTCGAGGGTACAGTGAAGCCAGGAAGTGCCCACCCTAGGGAATCACCTGAGATGGTGACAGGGCTGTTGCAGAGTGCCCAGCACATCACAAGTGCTTACCATTAGTTATGATCGTCCATTCACTTAGCAAATATCATAGTGAGCAAAACAGATTTCGTCTTGCCCTGGTGCGTCTTGCACACCTCGGTGGCAGAGAACAGTTAGTTGGATAACAAAACTGTGTAAGACGTGCTAGGAAAGAGATGAGGGAAAGCCACAGGAGGCCCAGAGGAGGCAGAATCTGGATTAAAGGAGGAAAGGAAAAGGAGATCGGGAGGCAGCAAAAGGTAGCAAGGTTCTGAGACAGGAGCAAGGGGGCCTGGGCACACTCACAACAGTTTCGAGGGGACCAGGGCGGGAGGCAGGATGAGCAGCGGCCTGGCAGACAGGGCCTTAATGAGAATACTTCAGTGGGGATTTCAGCAGGACAGGATCAGATCTGCAGTTTTTCAAAAGCCCCCTCTGCCTCCTGTGTGGCGTGTGGATGGTGGGATTAAGAGTGAAGCCGAGAAATGAAAGGTCACCCAGGCACATCTTGGCCTGTGACGGTGGAAACGTGACAGCAGATGGATGCTGCCAAAGGCAAAATCCAAAGGCCTTGGGCACAGTGGGTAGCAGGAAGGGTGAAACGTGTTTTCTACAGAACCAGATCTCAGGAAAAGCTTCAAGGACTTGAGGAGGGGTTTAGGCCAAGAAGTGCTCTCTCCGCAGAAGCGGCTTCCGGCAGGCTCCTCTTCAGCACACAGGAAGCTGAAGGGAGAGCTACTGTCAGCTCACCCTTCCCAGTGTCCACACACGGCCATTCTCCAGGACCCACAACCGGCCGGCCTGTGGCGTTCTCAGGGCCACTGCTGAGGGAGCTGCTCCCCAGCCAAGGGGAGCTGGCCCAGGTTCAATGCCCTTTGCTCAAGGCAAACATCCTTGCCCCAAACCACAGTTGCTCTCAGCCTGCAAAACAAAATAACATAGCAGAAAAAAGACACTGGTTCCTGAGAGGGTCTCGGGAGCCATAGCAGCAGGGCGGTCCCGCCTCGGGCGTGGGGCTCCAGGCCCAGCCTCAACTGGCAAACTAGATATGTATATGGTGTGATACTGTGTAGCCCCGTTTCAAAGACCAGTAGGGTTAAGTGAAAGAAGCCAGACCCAAGTGATTCCATTTTATGAGCCTCTGGCTGGAAGAGTAGAAGACAGAGAAGGGATGTGGGGAACGAGCATCTGGGAAGTAATGCTGAGTGGCCAGCTGCTCCTGTTCCCTACCTTGATTGTCAAAAGTCACATTAGAAAGGGGAATCTCACTGTATGTCAGTTACAGCGTGACCATTTGACAAAAACAGGAAAGAGAGCAAGGCTTGGTCTCCATGCATCACTCACTCCCCACTCCCCAGTTACCCTTTTTCTTTTTGTGGACGGACTTCTTCATGCCCCGGGGAGGTGGGCGGCGCCGGAGGGCCCAAGCTGGAGTATGTCCCACTCAACAACAGTTTCGAACGCTCCAGAGGCGGGCGCGGAGCGGGGCCTAGCCGGAGTCGAGGAGACCTCGGGCGCCGGCCCTCCATGCGGCCGCCAGGGGGCGCTGCGCCACCGCTGCCGGGTACCGCAGCTGTGCGGTGACCACAGGTCTCAGTGGACGCTGCGGAGCGCTGCGCGGGTGTTGTGGCCCTCGGAGCCGGTGCAGAAAAGCTTCAGTGGAGAAGAACCAATCGGCGGGGGCTAGCGCAGCGCCGACCCACGGCGGGTTCTTCCTGCATTCCGAGTGGACCATTGAAATGGATTTCGTGGAGCACCGAGGAGGCGTCCCAAAGATGTGAAGGGAAGATCTTAGAATACCTAGATCTCGGGCCGGCGCCGTGGCTCACTAGGCTAATCCTCCACCTTGCGGCGCCGGCACACCGGGTTCTAGTCCCGGTTGGGGCGCCGGATTCTGTCCCGGTTGCCCCTCTTCCAGGCCAGCCCTCTGCTGTGGCCAGGGAGTGCAGTGGAGGATGGCCCAGGTGCTTGGGCCCTGCACCCCATGGGAGACCAGGAAAAGCACCTGGCTCCTGGCTCCTGCCATCGGATCAGCGCGGTGCGCCGGCTGCAGCGGCGGCCATTGGAGGGTGAACCAACGGCAAAAGGAAGACCTTTCTCTCTGTCTCTCTCTCTCACTGTCCACTCTGCCTGTCAAAAAAAAAAAAAAAAAATACCTAGATCACACACATAGTTACATCAGCAGCTCCAACTGCTTTGGAACTTGCACTCGTTTCATGGATGTTTTGAATGAGAAAAGGCTAAGAAAGGGTGACCTGAAAAAAAATTTTAAGTGAGTCACTATTAGGAGAGGAATTAATGCTTCCTCTTTTTTTCCTCCAAAATAATAACCCTCCATCCCACACACAGTCACTCATACCACAAATATTTACTCCATGGTTCGCTGTGCTCAATGCTGAGGACACAACAGTAGTTGAGGCAAACAAGGGCCGTGTCCTCTCGGAACTAATATTTTAAAACAGAGGAAGTAGGCTATTTTAAGGAAAATATGTTATCAAAATAAATGTTAGAAAACAATCGCTTCTCAGCCTTTTGGCTAGGATCAAGTGTAGAAGAAGGAAAATACTATGATGAGGTAGGTGGGACCTTCTGCTGTCCGAGCTCTGATGGCCCTACCCTGCCTGGGACATCCCTCCCTACACAAGCAGAATCACAGACCTAGCAGGTGTCAGAGGAGGGCACAGACTTCCCTGGCACACCTGAGAAAGTCCTCGATAATTCTGCAGCCCCGCCCAGACAGTAGAGCAGGGCGGATGTCTCCTCGTCAGGTAGGCTGGCACAAAGGGCTACTCCCAGTCTGAATTAGTGTGCTGCCAGGAGTTTCTTTTGCGATCAATCACCTGTTGGGCAGTGGTCTACCCCGATACCAAATTAATTCTCTCACAAAAGGCACCCTTTTCCTCTGTCTTCCCGTCAGAAAGGAAATGGGGAGAGTTTGTGGGACAAAAGCATGCCGGCCCTTGAGGTTGCATGAGGGGAGCGTGGGGGAGGGTTCCTCCGGCTTCCCTGGGCGCCAGGGTCACACTGATTCGTAGACTGCAGGATTCAGACTATTGTGGCCCCTGTGCTGTGTGTCCAGATCCTCCTTCAGGGCTGAAGGACCTACATGAAGGGAAGTTTGGGCGGAGCGGGGTTGTGGGGGGAGGGCGGGAACAAGCATTTGACCTAGTGGTTAAGCACACACTCCCATATGCGAGTGTGTGGGTTCTGTACCTGACTCTGCTCTGCTCCTGACCCGTTTCCTGCTAATGCACACCCTGGGAGGCAGCAGTGACGGCTCAAGTAATTGGGTTCCTGCCACTCTGCCACTTGACCTGGATCAAGTTCCTGAGTGTTGTTGGATTTGGGCACTCTGTCCCAGCTGTTGCAGGTATTTGGGGAATGAACTAGTGGATAAGAGCCCTCTCTGTCAAATACATAAATAAAATTTAAAGAATTCATGGAGAATTTGAATGTGATTTTTAAAAATTTACCCAGGGGCTCACATTGTGGCGTAGCAAGTAGAGCTGACACCTGCAACTCTGGCATCTCATCTGGGTGTTGGTTGAAGTCCCAGCTTCTCCACTTCAGATGCAGCTCCCTGCTAATGGCCTGGGAAAGCGGCAGAGGATGCCCCAAGGTCTCAAGCCCCTGTACCCATGTAGGAGACCCCGAAGAAGGGGCAGGCTCCTAGCTGCACGCTGACCCAGCCCTGGATATAGTGGCTATCTAGGAAGTGAGCCAAAAGGTTCCTTTCCTCACCCCACAGATGTGGCTCCCAATAGTGCTTCTCCAATAAACCCCCTGCAACTCAGTCTGTTTCCCAGCCTGCAACAGTGAGTGCCGGTGATCTGAAAGAGTAGATGCTAAGATGGGTTTTAGGAGCTGGATCACCCCCTGCCCAGGTACTAACGAGGACCTTACACCTATAGAAGTATAGCTTAGGGAGCTTGCAGCACAGGGAAGCTCTGATAGGAAAATTTTTACGGAATGGTCTATCATTGTGCCAGCAGGTGTCACCTGTTACACGCTCCTTACATCAAGGGCTCCGCAAGCAAGAATAATCACCAGGAAGAAGCAGACTGCTGCTACACAAAGGGGCATGAAGGGATGGTGATCTACTTGGGTGTCCCTTGGCACTAATGGACAAATCCAGCAGCTACAGTCAGATGTGCTTGACAACCCGGGCTCAAACTCTTCAGGCCACCCCACCACACTAGCCACCTAGACCATCATGGATGCTGGCAGTCGGGGAAAGGGTGGATGGGAGAAGAAGGAAGTGATAAGCATTTCAGCGATGCCCTGAGAGGAGCTGCAACAGTGGCAGGAACTCTAGCTCCTCTCATTGGTTCTGCTGGGAAAGGATGCTCACCAGGGTCCTGAAGGTGCTGCCCCTAGAACTTTAAGGAAGCAAGTCAAAGTTGAGAATTGAGGTGTTAAAGACAGTAAATAGGGGGCTGGTGTTGTGGCACAGCACATTAAGCCACCACTTGTGACACCAGAGATACTGGCATCCTATAATGGAGCAGTTCCATCTGCTCAGCTTCTGATATAGCTCCCTGCTAATGAACCTGGGAGGCAGCAGGTAGTAGTCCAAGTGCTAGGTGGAGTTCCTGACTTCAGCCTGACCCAGCCCTGGCTGTTGTGGGTATTTGGGAGGTAAGCCAGTGGATGGAAGACCTCTCTCTTTCTCTCTCCTCTTTCTGTTACTTTGCCTTTCAGATAAAAACAACAAAAACACTTGCCGGCGCCGTGGCTCAATAGGCTAATCCTCCACCTTGCGGCGCCGGCACACCGGGTTCTAGTCCCGGTTGGGGCGCCGGATTCTGTCCCGGTCGCCCCTCTTCCAGGCCAGCTCTCTGCTATGGCCAGGGAGTGCAGTGGAGGATGGCCCAGGTGCTTGGGCCCTGCACCCCATGGGAGACCAGGAAAAGCACCTGGCTCCTGGCTCCTGCCAGGATCAGCGCGGTGCGCCGGCTGCAGCGGCGGCCATTGGAGGGTGAACCAACGGCAAAAGGAAGACCTTTCTCTCTCTGTCTCTCTCTCACTGTCCACTCTGCCTGTCAAAAAAAAAAAAAAAAAAAAAAAAAAGAAAAAAAACAACAAAAACAAAAACAAATAATAAAAATAAGTAAATAAAGAGGGGGCTGGCACCATGGCTCAGAGGGTTAAGTCACCATCTGCAGCACCGGCATCCCATATGCATGCCAGTTCGAGTCCCAGCTGCTCCACTTCCGAACCAGCTCCCTGCTAATGTGCCCTGTAAAGCAGCCAAAATTGGCCCAAGTGCTTGGGTCCCTGAACCCATATAGGAGACCCAGAGGAAGCTCCTGGCTCCTGGCTTCAGCCTGGTCCAGCCCTGGCCATTGCGGTCATTTGGGGAGTGAACTCGTGAATGGGAGATAACTTTCCCTCTCTTTCTCTCTGTAATCTTGACTTTTGAATAAGCAAATAAACCTTAAAAAAAAAAAAAAAAGAGGCTGGTGCTGTGGTGCAGAAGGCTGATCTGCCTGCGGCGTCAGCATCCCATATAGACACCGGTTCTAGTCCCGGCTGCTCCTCTTCTGATCCAGCTCTCTGCTGTGGCCCGGGATAGCAGTGGAAGATGGCCCAAGTGCTTGGGCCCGTGCACCCACATGGGAGACCTGGAAAAAGCTCCTGGCTCCTAGTTTCAGATGTGGTTGTTTGGGGAGTGAACCAGCGGATGGAAGACTTTCTCTCTGTCTCTCCCTCCTCTCACTGTAACTCTGCCTCTCAAATAAATAAAAATCTTACAAAAAAAAAAAAAGTAGCTAGACTTTTGAGAGCAGTAGTGCTTCCCAAACATGGGGAAGCCTTCACCCAAGAATAGGTGATGTGATAGGAAATTCAAGTCATTGGATAAATATGATCCATTTTCCTAGAGGGTTGATTTTATTTAAAAGTGTGGGAGATTTAAAAACAAAACAGAACGGAACAAAAGCTATTGAAACCGAGCATAATGCACAGTGCTGTGCTCTGCATGGCACCCAGGAGGCTCTGAGCGGCCCAGATCCCTCTTCAGGACTTCAGGACAATTCCCCAGGGGGGCGGGGGCGGGGGTGGTGGTGGTGGTAGTGTGATCTCAGCTGTCAGCCTTCTTGAGGAACTGTCCTTGGCTGGAGAGAGCTGCCTCTTCCCCAAGGTCAGGCATCCAAACAGTGGTCAGTGCAAGGATCATAAAGTCTTGACCCATTAACCCCAACTCGGAGCAACTCAGAATGGCCATCCCAGCTTCAGGGCTCCCCGGGGAGGCTGCAGAGCCTCCTGTGTCCTCCCCCCGGCCAGACGTCCCCCTCTGCCCCATCCTGCTTCCTTCCCTTCCCCCACAGGAGACAGATCCTGACAGAACTCCCAACCAGACTTCCTGCACGCTAATCAATAATCTCTCATCTCTCAGTCAGCTCCACAGAACCGATCTGCGAGCTAAACCATGGGTTGAGCCCTAGGCACAAGCCGCTAACCCCTGAGTTTAGCTCTTTTTTATCTTTTCTAACCCCAGGAACCCCAGGTACACACGCTGGTTGCATCCATCACTCTCATGGCCCATGTGATAACCTTGAGCCCCAGGCAGGCAGTGTGTCCTTTATCCTGTCAGGCCAACGATGCTCCTTAAAGAGGCAGTTTCCCCGGAGGCTCCATCTGGATTCAGCCTCTAGTGAGCCGGGGTCTGTCATCCATCACAGCAGAGCATGCCATGTTCACGGCCCTGCAATAGCTACAAAACAGCTACTGATGACTTGGGGCTGCCAGCATAGCTCCCTTCCAGGGGCCTTCTGTGTTCTTCCAGGTCCCCAAGGAATTTCTACCATAAGGAGCCTTGTGCATCATCCCGGAATAGAAAAACCCCAGCTGCTTTGCTTTGAGGTGGGTGAGAGGGTGCGATGCCCCCAACAGTGAGACATGCCACGCTGGGGGAGGGGTGCAGATGACCAGAGAGGGGAGGTCAAGTGAGGAGCAGGGCTAGGACTAGAACGTGGTTCTGCATTCTTTCTGCTCCATATCACCTCTACCTCTCCGAAACCCATGGGGTTTACTTCTCCAGAAATCTAGACTGAGATAGAGAAGAGAAGGAAACAGATCAGTTCTCTAGATTTTTAGACACTTGGGTCTCTGAGACACAGGGTGTGTTGGAAGGCAACATTAAGATGTGGGGGAAATTTATAGACAGTGTATTTGGCTCCTGCCAACGTTACCCTGATCCTGGTTAATAGGAACGGATGGGATAGGTGACTGCTGTCCTTAGTGGTGTGCAGCCGTTAATCTGATAGAAATTCCTTTAATTTAATACTTGTTTAGTGCTTTAGACTTAGATTCAGAGGCTTGTGTGGAGAGGCAGATGTAGCAGAGCCTGGAGAGTACTGCGTGGCTAGAAGGAAGGATTTATACTTCTACTTTTTAAGCACTAGCATCAAGTCCTCAGGATCCATGCAGAGTTTGAATAACATTTGAACCCGGGACTTCATCAGCTAGCTGAACATCAGTGGATATTATTTGGGGATTTTGTCCTGTATAGTTAGAGTTTCTTCTGTTAGTGGGCAACAGAAACACCAAACAAAAGCCAAGAATATGACTCCATCATTTCGCCAGTACTTAAAAGAAATGAATACTTGCAGTAATGTGATAGGCAATATATCTGGATCCTCAGGATACCTGAGTTATCTTGTGTCAATCTCTGTGATGGAGGGAAAATAAATTGCATAATTAAAAAAAACCTTCCCCTCCAGAGACCAGTGTTTGTAAAGAAAAGCCTTTACGGTAGCAATCGAATCCCTCCTTCCTCAATTTACCTGGTGACACTGATAATTTTCTGCACATTGCTGCCAGGCTGTTGGGAGTTGGTGGAATTTGAAACCTGCTCAGTTTTGTGGACATGTAGGCATTCCAAAAATAGAGACAGATGTCACTCTTCTAGGTCTTTCTAGAGATGACCTAGGTGGTATTTCAGGAGAAAATTTCAGGAAAGTGCCGCTTTCAACTCCTCTTTGATGATCATCAAGCCCTTCCTGCTTTTTACAAGACATCCGAATCGGTCAGAGTTTCTTCATCTTCACAACTTGGACCCCAGCCAAAGTAACAATTCACCCTCCTGGCTTGGAAGCTTCCTAACTTGTGTCCTTGCTTTCGTTTCTAGTCCTCCCTCCCACTACAGATCTTTACAGATCTAATAAATTCATGTCACTGTCTTGCTGAAAACCTTCCAGTAGCTTCTGTAGTACTTAAAATCTAAACTCCTGATCGCGGGCTCCCCAAAGCCCCGTCCATTTGGCCTCCACCCAGCTCTTCCCATTCCACTCTCTAGGCCAGCTGGGGCACGTGTAGGTCCTCGTTTCTGCCAGTCTCTTCGCCCCCCTCCCCTAACGAGCTTTGCTCTGCTCTCCCCCCTAGCCTTCCCCTATCTTCAAGATGGGGCCTGCCTCCATGACTCTAGTGGCCTGTACTGCAATGTTTCCTTCCTTGACCAACCTAACGTGCACCACCCCATCACACCGACCCCCTCCCCAAGTTCACAGTTCTGCAGCTGAAATTATTTTAAACGCATTTCTGTTCTTTCTCGTCCTGCACGTAAGCTTCGCAGGAGCGGGAAACCTGTCTTCCCCGTCCACTCCAGCACCCGTAGCACCTACACTGCCTAACGGCCAGCGGGTGTCCAGGGCTGACGGCCACGGGACAGGCAATGACAATAGTGTACAAGGTGACCAGGGCCGAGCCGCAGCGCAGTCACTCGGCGGCTTCCGAGCCTCCCTTCTGCGGGAAGACTGCAATCTTCCACCCACTCCATTCCAAGCTCTGAAAAAGCGTAAGGACTGGGGGGGTATTTTGCGCTCAGTCATTAACAACGACATTACTTTACTGAACGGTAAGGCAAGGGGCAGCGTGGCCTGCCGGAACAGACCGGGAGCCTGGCAGTGGCTCGAGAGCCGGGTGGCAACGGTCCCGAGGCGGCCCGTGGGGTCCGGGCAGCGAGCCTGGGCCGCCCGGCTGAGCGCCGAGCGGCGAGCACAGAGCGGGGGCACCGCGGATCCGGAGGCAGGGCCCGCCTCGCCGGCGCGGCGGCTTCGCTTCCGGGTGAGGGGCGGGCGGGCCGAGCAGTTCCGGGGCGGGCGGCGGATCCGGCGGTGCGGGCCGCGCCGCGGCTGCTGGTCCCGGGCGCGCGGAGGGCGCGAGCGGCGCGCGGGGGCCGAGGGGGTGCGAGGCGGCGGCGCGGGGACTCCGGGCCCCGGCGGCGGCCCATGGGGCGGGAGGCGTGAAGCCGCGGTCTGCCCGGGGCTCGGGGGGTGGGGGGAGCGGGGCGGGGAGATGGATAAACTGACCATCATCTCAGGATGTCTCTTTCTGGCCGCCGATATCTTCGCCATCGCCAGCATCGCCAACCCGGACTGGATCAACACCGGGGAGTCCGCGGGTGAGCGGCGGGCGAGGGGGGATTGACTGAGGGAGAAGACGGAGACCCGGGCTGGAGGGCTGGGGGCGGAGAGAAGAGGGGCGGCTGGGGCTGAGGGTGGAAGAGGCTGGCGGGGAGGAAGCGGCGGACGCGAGCGGGACCCCCAGGCTGAGTGAAAGTGGCGGAGGAGACCCGGGCTGGGCTGGAGGGTCCGCCCGGGGAAGGCAGGGGGCAGCCACCTGAGCTGAGGAACAAGCGGTCGCCCTGGCTTTTAAAAGGAGGAAAAAAAGAAAAAGTCAAGGGAGGAGACGGGAGGAGACCGCCTGCCGCCTGGGGGGGAACCTGAGGCTCCGGCGAGCGAGCTGCTGGGCGAGGGGAGGCCGCGCCGGGGGTCTCTCCACCCCCGGGGGAGCTGCGGCGGGCGCCCACCCACCCACTCGGCGGGCTTGGTAGTGGGAGGAGGCCGGGGGATCGGAGCCCCCTCACCGCCCGCCCATCCCCTGCCGGCTTGGCCGTGTTTGAAACGCGTGTGGCTTCCGATTTTACCCTTTGAAGTGTATGTGGTTATAATTTTTGCTTTATTTTAGGCCCGGGAGCTATAATAATACTAATAATAAACTTCATTTTATGGAGCATCTTTGATTTCAGCGCATCCTCCCCAAAATGCTGTGGCGCTCTTAATAGTAGTTACAAAATTAAATAACACATCAGAGTCGCAGGCGGCAGCGGCGTGGGTGCTGCGGGGCCGTAGGCAGGAGAGGTGGTGCCCTCGGGGAAAGAGGCGGGCATCTTGCCGAAGGGTATCCCAGGTGAATGCTCAGGTTGGGCCACCTCCCTCTCCTCTCTCTCCCACTCTCCCCCTTCTCTCCCACAGACCTGTGAGTCCAAACCTTTAATTAATGTGCACAGCTGGTGGGGGAACTTCTGGAAATTAAGGGGTGGTCTTGTTTTTTAACTGCTTGTTCAGTGCAGGTGAAGGGGATATGCGGGTAGGGGTGGGGTGCCAAGTCCACAATGAGTAATTTGCTATGAAAATGTATCACTGCGCTGTCAAACTTCTTAAGTATTACTTAGGGTTCTGTATTTATCCTGCAGTATTTTTAGCTCTTAAAAAAAAAAAAGGTAGCTGGGACATTTGTTGCTCCCCCCTCCTATTTCTCTCCCCTTTTCTAGACCTTGTAACACAAAATTATGCTGTCGGGTTTACTGGTTTATTAAAATAACACTCAGAAAAATTCTGCTACTTTTTTTGCCTGTGGAGTTTTAGCAGAGCTGTTAATTGTAACGCTCTTAAGGAAAGCGTCAGCCTTGTTTAAAATTTGGTGCTAGTGGAGGCTTTGTGCCATACAGTTCCATGTGAAGCATCCAGTTCATTGTTTTATTCTGATTATACGTATACGTTGTGACTGCTTTTTTCATTTGGGCTTTATAAGCTTGTAGAGGCAGAAGAGTTTGAATGTTCTAGCAGAAGATTCATTTTTGCAGAGATTTTAGGTGGAATCCCAATAGATAAATTGTCCACAGAAAAGATACAGTCAAGAGAGGGAACTATGGGGTAGAAGGGGGAAAGTAATGGCTTAACAGTCCTGAGAAGAAAGCATGGTAGGATGAGTAGGACGTCTTCATATCTGGGGGCGAAGTCGTCATCATGAGTTGCCATGGATATGGGAGGGACAGACGTCCAGGGCTTGAAGGAAGTAGAAGATGTTGGGGGGAAAGTAGTTGCAGAGGAGCGTCCCAGCTGGTGACGGAGTAGGATTGTTTAGCCTCATTGAAATTAGTGGCAATGAACGTATAGGTGTGATGCCCTGCCTGCCTTGTTGAATATTCCAGAAGTCCTTGGAAATAAGGAAACATCAAGAATGCTGATGTAGCCACCCCTAAGCTTCATTCAGGGTTGGGGTTTGCCAGCTACATGGAACAGAATGACAGAGGAGCCATGGTTTTTTGGGTGCTGGCAAAAGTATTACTGTAATGGTTGCTCATGAAATCTCAGCTGGGTAAATAGTGAAGGTGCAAAAAGGATGGAGCTGATGGATTGATCAGTTGATAGTGGTTGGTTTATGGTCAGTGAAATAGTGGACACATTAAAATTGAAGTGATCAGAGTGAAATGATTGATAGAGCCAAGTGGAATGCAAAGGGTTGTGGGTCTGGAATATAACAGTGGGGCTGTGTGGTGTGGCTGAAGTACAGTGGAGGAGGTGATTTTTAATGTTTCCCTTGATATCTCAGGATAGCCCTCAGGTAAATATTCTGTGGCTAGACCAGGACTAATAGGAGACAGTAGAACAGTAAGAAAAACTTCAAAACCTTTTCTAACCATACTTGTTACCTTAACTGTGTCAGGCAGTAAACCCTCCTCCCAACCCCCTAATAAACCAAATGAGGAACATGGTAGGTTCCTTTGTTTACTGTTGTGAGCTGTGGTGAGATGCACCCAAACTTTGCCTGGCCTTTGCTTGAGTTTCTGTGCTCACTGTACACTTTTACCTGAGTAGACAGATGCAGTCATGAGTTTTAAAAGATCAATGTAGAATTACACCTTCCAAATCAATGAACCGTTTACAAGAAGTTCAGATAGGATCTCAGAGGTGACAGGATAGCTTTATTCCAAGGTCTGCACAAAAGTGAGTTAATCTGGCAGCAAAAAGTTAATGTGTTTGTTCCTTTCAGTATTAAATTCAGTCTATAAAAGCTTTTTATAAAAGTATTTATTTATTTGAAAGGCAGAGTTACAGAAAGAGGTTGTCCGTCTACTGGTTCCCTCCCCAAATGGCCACAGTGGCAGGGCTCGGCCAGGTTCAAGTTAGGAGTGAGGAGCTTCTTCCGGGTCTCCCACGTGGGTGCAGGGGCCCAGGAACTTGGGTCATCTTCGACAGCTTTGCCAGGTGCATAAACAGGAAGCTGAATTAGAAGTGGAGCAGCCAGGACTCTAACTGGCACCCATATGGGATGCCAGTGCTACAGGCATGGTTTAACCCACTTTGCCACAATGCTGGCCCTCTCTGTCTATAAAAGTTTTAATTGTGATACTTTACTGCAGTTTTTTAAATGCCTAAAATATAATTTGAAACTAGTAGTCTTGGAGCCAAAAGGCTGAGCACTGCAGTGAAGGGAAAGTTTGAGGACTCAGACTTCATCACTCACTAGCTCTGTGACTTTAGGGCAAGTTGCTTAGCCTTTCCATGTTTCTGTTTCCTTTTCTATAAAGTAGAGGTAATAATAGTACCCATCTTATTGGTACTATTGTTGTCGTGATTAACTGAGGTGATCCATGTAAAACACTGAGAACAGTACCTGACAGCAAGTAAGTGCTCAATACAAGTTTATTATTATTATATTCTGGTTTAGGAATAGATGTCAAAGGCCAGGTTAAGCTGCTGCATGGGGGACCAGCAGCCCATTTCAGAGGCCTGTTTGAGTTCTGGATGCTGTGCTTCCAAGCCAGCTTTCTGCTAATGTGCCTGGGAGGGCAATGGATGATGACCAAGTATTTGGGCCCCTGCCACCCATGTTGAGGACCCAGATGAAGTTCCTGGCTTTAGCTGGCTCAACCCTGGCTGTTGCCATTTGGGGGATTTAACCAGTACACAGGACTTCTCTTGTTCTCTAACTTGCACTCACTCTGCTTTTCAAATAAATGAATAAATGGTAAAAAAAAAAAAAAATCAGAATCCCATTTTTAAAAATATATTTATTTATTTGGAAGGAAGAGTTGGTGAGGGGAGATCTTCCATCCTCTGGTGCACTCCCCAAATTGCCAGGGGTGAGCCACACCAAACCCAGAAGTCTGGAACTGTGTCCAGGTCTTGCCTTTGAGTGCAGGGGCCCAAGCACTTGAGCCATCTTCCACTGCTTTCCCAGGCACATTAGCAGGGAGCTGGACTGGAAGTGAAGGAGCCAGGACTTCAACTGCACCCATGTGGAATGTTGGCATCACAGGAGGCAGCTTAACCCACTGTGCCATGGTGCTGGCCCCCGAAATCCCAGTTTTGAAATGAAAACCCAAGACTCATTACTGGGACAAATGGCATGGTTTCTTTATTAGATGATGTGTAAGTAAGGAAACATCAAGAATAGTAAGACCAAGTTTAGAACAAGTTAAATGTCTTCCCTCTTGGATGTGGACTTCATCCGTCACCCTTACTTTGTTCCTCCTCTTCCGGTCTCATTGCCATCTCCTAATCTCTGTCTTCCTCATCTTCTGCTTGCAAGGCAGTAGAATGAATTAAAATATTAACAAAACACCAAAACAGAGCAGAGTATCCTTCTAAAATCCCAACTGATGAGCTGTGTTACCATGAATACGGGCCATACTTTAGACTGGCAGAGCTTTTAGTTTGATTGTGTTAGTCCACATGTGAAGTATGTTCCTTTTATTTCACCTGGGTGTCGTAACATTTCATGTACTTGTCCTAATAGTTTGTGCGTTATGTACAAACTGTTGAAGGTAGGATGAAACAAATATATAATATACGTATGAGGAGTGTTCATGGGAGAGGCACTAGGATAAGGGCCCTTAGCAGTTTCTGTTAGCCAAAAATGTTGAGTTGTAGATAAATATAGTGGCAAAATTACATTAAATCTGTACTGAGGTCAGATTTCTGCTAGTTACTGGAATGCATCATCAACAGCAATATCTTTGATTCTATGTAGTGCTTTATAGTTTTTCAAGCACAGTGACATCATTACTTGATTTGATTCCTTAGCTTTTTATATTTGGCTGATGCAAAATAATCATTTCCACAGTTTTCCCTACATTTCAGTGCTTTGCACATGAGATTTGAATTTGAGGACTACAAAGGCTTCCTTCAAGAGAGCTTGTCCCTGAAGTATAACCTATATCTTATTTATGCACACCTTTTGTTCATCTTAAATAAGGTTAATATTCCTCAATGGCTGGAATTTTTGCCAAAAACAGAGGAGGGAAAGAAGTGTTTTTTTTTTTTTTTTTTAAAGATGTATTTTTTATTTATTGGAAAGGCAATGTTACAGAGAGAAGAGGAGAGAGAGATCTTC